TAGGCATATTTCGGCTTCAAAATGGAAGAAGCCCCCTGGGAATGTGGTGAAGATAAACACGGATGCAACGATTTTTCACAATGACGAAGTTGGACTGGGTGCTATTGCCAGGAACTCTGCAGGTAAAATTATATTCATAGCTGCTAGAAGAATCAAGGGCAAATGGGACACTGAGATTGCAGAGGCAGCAGCAGTATGTTTGGGGCTTGAGATTGCTATAAGCTCAGGGATCCAATACGTAGGGGTTGAATGTGATTCTCTGGGAGTGGTGTCCAAAATAAATGGTAACTATTCTGGGTTTAAATTACTTGTCCTTGTTTATTGATCATGTATCTAGTATGATCCCGTCTTTTGCTTTGTTTGTTTGTAGTCACGTGAAAAGGCCAGGGGAGGGAACACTACGACCCATTATTTGGCTAGATCTTGTTCTCCTGATGTATCCGAACTTTTAAGTTTTGATTCATTTCCGAAAGCTATCTTAGAGCACTACCAATGGTGAGCTAAAAATTTGCTCATGGGCATTTTGGGTCGGCATAAAATTTAATCATGCAATATAATGGTGAGCAAATGAGAAATAGTCAAAAAAATGCTCATGAGCATTTCTGAAAATGCCCAAAACTTGAGCATTTTTTAAGATGAATAGTATTTTTTGTGGGCCCCACAACGTGCAGCCAGAAGCAAAAAAAAATCCGCTTTCCCATAGTCAAAACGCGTCGCTTGGGTTGGTGGACCAGAAGAAAACTCCTCAAAACGACGCGTTTTGAGGCCAGCATTTTGAAAAAAAAAAATTCAAGTTCTAACTAACGCGCGTCAGTGAGTCAGCAAATGGGAGGACGCCACGTGTCGCTTGCAAGTTGTTGACCAATCAGAAAATTGTAGCTGTTATACAACGGTTATTTTTTTGTAATTCAATTTCTGAAAAATATATTTATTACAAAAAAAAAAATTACCAACGGTCATAAATTTTTTTTCTCTATAAATAGACATGCATTTTGGTATATTTTGGTATAATTTCATAACAACCATAAATCCTCCATATTCTTATTTTTTAAAATATTTTGAAATTGTAGAAGAATATTATTGTTGTATTTCACCCATTTTGAGGTAAATATGTTTTTTTTTTAATATATAAATTCAGTTATTATTAAAATTAGTATATATGTGATTTTTTTGCAAATAAAAAACATAGGTCATGTAATGTAATTGCAATTATATATATAATTGAAGAAAGTTGTTGATATTTTGTCCATACATTACTAAATTTGTAGTTAATTTAATTTGAAATTAGTTGGTAATTTTTTATGGAAAATGGGTTTTTGTTTTGTATATGTGAAGTAATTTGTTATGATAAATTATATTGTATTTATATGTTATTTTTGTGTAGGTAGTTAATTTTGTTACATTAAATTATGTATTATATGTTTTGTTTATATGTTGTTCAACGTGAATGTTGTATATTTAATAAATTAATTGGTATTAAATTATATTTTTTCATTTGTTGTAATGTAAATTTGTTTTTTAAATTAATCTTTGTAACAAAATTTATCTTTGGTTTTTTGATGTAGAATCTTTTAATGGATCCAAACGACCCAAATTTCCGTCAACAATTTTCGGGTTTTAGTGATGATTTCCTAACTAATCCCGAATTTCAATTGTTCTTGCAAAGAATGGGCAATACGTCTTTGCAACCACCTCCACAACATCAGACACCCACCGAGTTTCCCCTACAAAACCATGTTAATGAAGAACGTACACCTGAAACCGATCATGATAGCAACACACAATTTGATGAGAGCGAAGAGAAAAACGTACCAGAGACACCGCAGTATCCTTCACCAGTTCGCAGACTGGAACCCAACCAGGTTGCTGCACGAGCGACTCGTATTTGGTCTGTTGCGGAAGATGAAGCTCTGATTGGGTTGTACTTGCAGATCAGCGAGGATGCTATTAATACGAGCCAGAAAGCAACTTGCCTATGGCGTAATGTACACGCAGCATATCAAATTGCTCATGCGGAGATGGCGCATATAATTCCGCCAAGACCTATTAAGAGTCTGACGTCGCACTGGAGAAGGTTGGCAGCAGACACACTACAGTGGATATCTTGCTATGATGAAGCAGGTAGACTTCCGGAGGGAGGGAGTGGTTACAACGAAGCTGACCGTGTAAAAAGTGCGGCGAAGCATTTTCATCTCGCCCAAGGTCGCAATTTCACTTTTCCTCACGCAATTGAAATGCTTAATAAAGATCCAAAGTAGAGGCCAAAGCTGAGATGGTCCTTGTCAAAGAAGGAAAGAAAAGCCGCTTGTGATGCTGAGGAGAAAGGTAGTGCTGGAAGTGGGAAGAGGTCCAGAGATGATGTAGGGGATGAAACCCCTACGGATGGTTTTTCATCTGGAGGTTTACAACGACCCGAGGGTGTCAAGAAAGCAAAGGCGAAGCGTAAAGGGAAAGCAGTAGCAACAGAAAGTGGTTTCTGACCTTAGCGAACGAATGAAGGAATTCGCTACAATTTGCGAGAGGGAGGCCATTCTGAAGGAAGATAGGATCAAAATTGAAAAGGATAAGGAACAGAGGAAACGGGAGGAACTTGACATTCATAAGATGAGAACCATGTTTGATATGCTGCAAACTCTGAAGAATTCGCCTATGCCACTCACTCCTCAAGAAGAGGCGTACAAGAATTTTTTACTGGGTAAATTACAAGGCTTTTAAGCATGTTTGGTTGTTTTAGGTCTACGCTTGTATTAGTTAAGTTTAACATTATGCGCAATGTAATCTTTTATTTTTAACTTGTATTAGTGGTGTGTTTAATTTCAATGTAAGATGTAATCTTGTATTATGATTTTCCAATATTGAATGACAAGTTGTTTAACAAGTTGATTTCAGTTGTCATTGATACCGACATAATTACTTTAAATCTTTGTCATTGTGTAGTCACATTAGTCTGAATTCACTTTGTCAGAATGCTTTAACTTTGGGTCATTGATACCGACATAATTGCAATAAGTCTTTGTCATTGTGTAGTCACATTTTTCTGAATTCACTTTATCAGAATGCTTTAACTTTGGGTCATTGATACCGACATAATTGCACTCAAGATTTTTCACTGTCAACTAGCATAGTATACCTATTATGTGGCTGAAAATTTGATTCCTTTAGTTGGTGTGGTCATTCAGATTTGTAACCACATATTCATTTGATATATTTTCTATATATAGTAGGCATGACACATATTCACAACCACACCAATTCATAAACTTACAATATTAATACATGATGTATTCCAGACCATTATCAAGTTCAAGTTCAAGTTTATCTTCTTCAAATACTGAAGAATATGATCAACTCGTTGGTGAACTCTTCACATACCAACCCCCATCTTTCCTCATGCCCCAAACACAATCCCAACATACTTCAAAAACACCTAGAGGGGGTATGAATAGAAGAGATAGGGAAATTGGACATGCTAGGCTGTTTAATGATTACTTTTCGGATAATCATGTGTACAACACCACCCAATTTAGAAGAAGATTTCGTATGCAACGACCTTTGTTTTTACGTATAATGAACAAGGTCGTTGAAGATGATGTTTACTTCCAGCAGCGTAGGGATGCAGCTGGAAGGTTAGGTTTATCACCTCTTCAAAAATGTACAGCCGCGATAAGAATGTTAGCCTACGGCATGGCTGCGGACGCCGTGGATGCGTTCGAATCAGTCAGTCAACCGCTCGAGTTTCCCTTCAACGTTTTTGTGCCGGGGTCATTGATCAGTTCGGAACCGAGTATATGCGAAACCCTAAAACTGATGAATTGGCCCGAATACTGCATCAAAATGAACTGCGTGATTTTTCCAGGCATTATAGGCAGCATTGATTGCATGCATTGGGAATGGAAGAATTGTCCAACGGCTTGGAAAGCGCAGTACGCCGGTAGGAACAAGAAAGCAACGCTAATACTGGAAGCCGTTGCGGCTCAAGATTTATGGATATGGCATTCCTTCTTTGGTATTCCCGGATCTTGTAATGATCTTAATGTGTTGTTCCGTTCACCAGTGTTCGATGAGGTTTTGCATGGTCGAGCTCCTCCGGTAAATTTTACAGTTAACGGCCATGAATACAACATGGCATATTACTTAGCCGACGACATTTATCCGAAGTGGGCAACTTTTGTTCAGGGTATCACATCCCCTCAACTTCAGAAAGATAAAATGTTCGCTGACCACCAGGCTGCTGCTCGGAAGGACGTTGAAAGAGCTTTCGGTGTTTTGCAAGCTCGATTTGCAATAATACGAAAACTGTCATTGGCGTACGATGAGGACATACTGCGGGACATAATGAAAGCATGTATCATTATGCACAACATGATTGTTGAAGATGAGCGCCACAACTACACTCGAGCCGAAGTTCTAAGAGCCTTCTACGAACAAGATCAATAAGAATTAACACCAGCATCAACGTCTACAACACCACTGTTTGAATTCAACGTAGGTCGTTCTACCAACTTTGACTTTGACGCATTTCTACAGCGAAAAGCTTACCTCCGTGATAGAGAAATTCATCTATCTCTGAAACGTGATTTAGTCGAACATATTTGGCTACGATACGGGCCACGTAATTAGGGAAAAATTAGTACGACTTAAATAAGGCCAAGTACCATGGCCTACCTACTTTTCCATACGGAGTCGGGTTATTTTTTGATTATTTTTTTTATGTTATTCACTAAGTTTAATTACACATGACGTTGCAAATGTAATTGGTTTCTAGTAATGTACCGCTTTTTTAAAAAAAAAAAAAAACATTTACGAAATTTTGAGCTTTTTTTACAATTATGTCATCTAACGTACATAATCACACGACAAAATTTAACGAAAAAAACGACACAAATAAAAAAAATAAGTTACACAATTTAAAACTAGTTTTTATTTATTTGGAGTAATATTGTTAAAAATATAAATGAAATTAATATATAAAGAAGTGTTGTGTAGGAGAGAGAAAGTAATGGTAGAGTACTGAAAAAGTAAGAGAGATAGAGTGGTGGGCAAGCATTTTTTTGTTCACCATTGAGAGAGAAATTGTGAAAAAAATTTGCCCATGGACAAAACTGATTTGTTGAGAGAGAAAGTGGGTGGACATTTTTTTTTGCTCACCATTGAAAGTGGTCTTACAACTATCGAAAATGGACAACAATTAATGACACTTCCCTGCTTATTTCAAAAAACTATAAAATTGTAACGTGAAAAAAAAATTCGTATGTCAATTTTGTTGAAAGAGAAAGAAATAACTAAAAGTAAAAGTCACCCGAATTCACCCCAAAGAGCATACTTCCAAAACACTTGACGCCCATTGGCCTTGCTTTTGCATATTTGTACTATTTTACTACAATTAGCTAGCCCTATCACATTTGTGGAAACGAATAACCCCATCAAAAGAAGTTAACCTTATCACCTATATTCTATAAAAACCTTTCCCTCCAATCCTCTATATATCATTTTATTATTTGAACTAACCCACTAATATCTATCTTCATTTTACTTATGGAAAAAACACAAACACCCCCTAAGAAAAAGCCTTTCAACAACACCACCACCCAAAACCACCACTCAAACACCAAAAAATGGGCTGATCTTCCAAAAGACGTCCTCCATCTCATCGCTTACCATCTTGATTTTAAGACGGATCTCCCCCGCATTCGCAGTGTCTGCCCCTCATGGAGATCCGCCCTACCTCTAGCCGATTTCCCCTTACGGGAAATCCACTTAGAGGTCCCACCCCTCGAATACAACAACAACAAAGCCTTAGTCCCACTCCTCGGATATGCTATTAACACCAATAAACCTATTTATCTTCTCAAGACTAGATACTACCTATTTTACCCTTTGCCCGGGAGTCCTTGTCGGGGCGGGTGGATAGCTAGAATGGGTGAGCTTGGTTTAAACAAATGGCGACTTCTTAGCCCACTTAGTAGCGACTCCAAGTTTAAGAGGTACTTGTACACTGACCCACTCATAGTTGGAGAAATAAATCTGTTGGATTTTCGTGTTGTTGAGCTAGCTAGACCTATGTCTTTGGTTTATGATTTGGATTACAATGCACAACCAATATCGAAGAAAGTCGTCCAAGGGGCACGGGCCGTGTTAGTGTTACTTGATGATGAGCTAGGATTGATGTTGTGGAGGTTCGGGGATCATCAATGGGTTAAAATTGAAGATCAACAACAAGATCATTATGTGAGGTTTAAAGATATTGAGTTTCACAATGGTAATTTTTATGCCTTTCGGATGACATCGATTTCTCAGTTTCAAGTGTGGGTGATCAATCCAGGTATGGGCGCACCTCAATTTCTGTTATTTTTATTTATTTATTTATTTAATTAATTTTTAATTTTTAATCTAGTTTACAATGAATCACAAGTTAAAATAATATAGATGAAATTTGATTCAAAGTCTTACATATAGTCCTCTTATGACTTTAACCAATTTTTCCGTAAAGATCCACAGAAATAATTAAATTAATCTGATTTGACTTTAATAAACTAAGATATGGTCTAATCTAATATGATATTTGCTGTATAAATTTGGCTAATTAAATTCGACCACAAATTTACGCTAATCTATAAGCTAAAACATTACAATCAAATTAGTTCTCGTTACACTCATTTCATCGTGTACTTTTCAAATATGTAACCTTTGTAAATTTTTAAGGGAAAATTGCCAAAAATAATACAACCTTTGGATTAATTTGTAATAATAAAATCTTTAGGGGTGTTCATTTTAAACAAGCCAAAATCGAATTTTCGGTAGATTTTGAGATTAGTAAAGGGAAGGGGATGAGTTTTTGGTGGTGGGGATGGGGAAGGGGGGAATATCCCCTCCCCTACTAATATATACGAAGTATAATCAATCTTGACACCTTGAATGCTTGTGTAGGTAATCTCTCAATAATGAAGCAAGAAATCGATGTTCCGGGCATTTTGCAACTAAATGAAGGTAAATATAGTTGCATGGATGCAAACTTTGTACCATCTAAATCTAATGGTTGCTTGCATTTGACTATCGATGTCGAGGCGAGGGAGGGTAAAATTTGTAGACATAAGCTAGTTTTGATGTTGAGGGAAGAAAAGGATGAGATGAAGAGTAAGTGGGAAAGGGTTGAAAACATAGGAAATATGACATTTTTCATTGGAAGTAATGTGTCATTTGCTCTCCCACCTCCACCAAGAAGCTTAGCACTATGGAAACCCAATTCAATTTACTCGTTTAATACAAGCGGGACTGTTTGGTTAACCCGGAATAATAATATCAAGCTAGCGAGTTGGAATCCACATTGTATGTCCGAGGGGTCAGAATGTTTTCGTCGTATGATTTATCATACATTTAAAGGTCATTTCAATTTGTTCATTATGGGCGAAAATGATGATCTGGTTTATCCGACGTATAATGATTATTTCAATTTGTTCATCATGAACGAATATGATAAGGGTGGCGACGAAATGTCTTGTGAGAAGCGCCAGGAGTTGAGTACTAGACTCTTCTTTCCGCCACCTTCTTGGGTTAAGTGGCGTTGTCCTAGTCTTAACAATATTGAAATTAGGCTCGATGTCTAAGGGTTTTATTAATATACCTTGATGCATTTGTTGAATTAATCTTCTCTTATGCATATATATGTGTATGAAGTTGCAAGTTCAGATGTAATTGGAATGATATGAGTTCGTTGTCCTAGTCTTGTTAATTTATTGTTGGCTATGAGTATGACATCCTTTTTTTGCTTTGGCCAACTAGATGGATTCATCTTGTACTTCGTATATTGTATCGATTAGCTTGATTTTACTGTCATGTTGCTAATTCTTATGGCTTCAGAATTAAAGTTGCGATATAACTGGCTTATTGGCTAATGATCGATATTACTGTCATGTTCTGATCTTCATCCACCTAAACCTTGTAAGATAAGTTCCTTAACCCTTCAACAGGGGATGGGTCGCGCAATACAAATTACAAACATGTGATTTTGAAAAGGTTGATAATAGATATGAGTGAGATCAAATTATCAAAAATGGATATGAGTCGTAAAGGGCGTTTAGTTGGTTATATACATGGATGTATGTAAGAAATTTAGTCGTAGGAGAGCTAAATATGTGTAAATAACTTGCACTGTACTTCATTCTATAGTGCTTCATCAAAGTTTTATTTGTTTACTTGATGGTTTGGTTAAGATTCGAGAATCAAAGGTTGAAGACGAAAAAGGCAAAGTTTCTACACTATATACCATACTTGAGTTAGTTTCTTTCTTTCTCATACAGTCATACCTTAATTTACATAGAAGTTTTATTAATACAAAATAACATAAGTCTTGAAAAGGTTTACATTTTTTGGCAAACTAATCATAATCAATCATATGTTTCTTGTCTAGTCTAAAATTGACAAAAACAAATAAATTTACAAAATTTGTACTAAACATTGTCTCTGAATCTCGAACTAAGCTCAGAAACCTATATTTTTCGGTTGAAGATGTTTCTGTACATAATGTATCCATTGGTGTTAACGGAAATTCTTCTCATTTGTATCCTTTTGTTCCAAACTCCTTTGAGAAAGCTTCTAGTGAAAGGGCTAAGCTTGCTGAAGGTTGGCCGAGGTCCTGTGGTTGCGCAAACTTTGTCTATAACGATGCTTGTGTTATTCCTCTCAAGCTTATATGGCCTCTTAGAAGCCCACCGGCGCTTCATGGATGCTGGTGCCATTAATCCAACCGAACAAGTTCTTATGGCTCATCATCTCCTGGAAACAACTCTTCTTGGTACATAATTCTTGAATTCAGACTTAATTAACTAGTGAAGATTTCATTTTTAATAAAGTTTCAACTAGTAAAATTGTGAAATTTTTTGTGACCTATCATAATCTTTATCTTCCAATTTTGTATAGGAATGTCCTTGTTTCTTGCTTTCATAATAGACAGACTACACTATTATATGAATGAAATTTCTCGATTGAGAGAAGATAATGAGCTTCATCGACAAAAGGGTAAGGTGGTGCAAGCTACGGCTAGTGCACCAACTCATCACAAGGAGAGGATGTAAGTTAATCAGCTTGAAGGCTTGAAGCTAACGTCACAACTCACAAGAAACTGTAAATAACTCATAGCTAGTTAAAAAATTGTATGTATAAAACGTGCATGAATTGTTGCATGGTAATCGATCAGATCATGTCCTATTGTTTATTATGATCACCTATACTATTTTATTTATTCTATATATTCATTCCATTACCAAATTATAAAATTAGTAGAACCTTATCCTTTCCAATAGTGTTATTCGATGTTGCCTTCGTTTAACTTAAACCGTTGTCAACATTGCTTTTTAAATTACACTATCAACAAGTTAGAGGTTCGGTTTTCCTTTGCCACCTTCTTGCTTTCCTAGTCATGCCATAGTTGAAACTAATAATTTGAGGTTAAATTATAAATTAATGCTTAATATGTTAGACATAAAGCATGAATCAAGGGATATTGGTGAGCAAAAGATATCAAAATAAAGTTGATGTTTGACTTGATTGTTAGATATGTTTGATTAATTGAACTATATGATGAACTTCATGACTAAATGATCGAATAATTGAAGAATAAATGCAATATAATATCCTTCAAAATTATAAATTACACTACTTATTAGATACATGGAATCTAAAAGAATAAAAAATACGTAGTACATATGATCCTAGGCACGTCAAAATTTTTGGAAAAAATAAAAAAATCTAAAGATTATAATAAGGATATAAAAAAGATGAGAATGATGATTATATTATTGATAATTAACCAATTAATTCTCTGATAAATTGGACAAATCAGAGTTATTGTCCTTAGAAATTTGCTTACCCATAACTATTTCACTACTTTTACCATTATTATTAACATTATTGATTGAGTCATAATTACCCTTAATTATTGAGGATATAGCCGTTGCTAAAGCGGAAGCAAGATTAGGGTCCGAAGCAAGGGCAGCTTTAGCTATACTTAATGGGTCAACTGAAGGCAAGTTACTATTTTCTCTATTGGGCTCATTTGATCCAAGGAAATTGTTGGGCCCATGGCCCAACAATTGTTGCATAAGGCCCATTAAGGCCGGCCCATTTGCGTTTGCACATGGCATGTTACTGTTGTTGTTCCCTTGTGGTTGTGAGCCTTGAGGCCGAGTGAGGTCTAATGTGATAGTAGGGAAAGGGGCCGAGGCGGATATTGTGGCCAAGCTTGGGAGGCCTGGGAGTGCCGTGGATTGTGAGAAGATAGACGGACATAATAGTCCGTCCATCGGACTTGATGACTTGGAGCCAGCGATGAGCATTGAGGCGGCCGAGGTTGTTGTGCTGGCCATGGGTACCGCCTCCGGTGGTAAGTTATGGTTGTGGTGTCCCTCATAGGTTGTGATGAGAATGCTATTATCTTCTGCACATCTTTGGACCTATTGAAATAGAATATAAGATATGATAATGTTAAATTGTGTAAATACTAGAAGGAAAACGTGAATATATATTCCTTAAGCTTAGACAGCTGCCCAAGGTTATCTAATGCAAAAAAATCATATCTATGTCAACATAAATTACAAAATTTATTCCAATTTATAGGTCAATAATACTTGACATGACAAATAAGGTAAAGTGCTTGACTAATTGAATAGAAAATTTTATATTTATTCTATAACTAAGTGATGCATTGAATTTTCCTAGCCTTTTTGCATGCGGTTTTCTTGACATGAAATTGTCAAACTTAATTCACTTTTGTCGTATGTCTGATTGTCAATTTGTCAGATTAAGTATATTCGTTACACAAAAAACATTAGAAGTTAAACAAGATATGTATTACGTAAAACATTATGCAAAGAGAGACTAACGTTGGTAAAGTGGTTTATTTCTTCACATATTCCTTCATTTTAGAATTTTAGTGGTATTGAGCATAGAATACTTGTGCACATGTTTGATGATAAATATATGTTGTTATGTAATAATGAAAATCATAAATAATTAGTTATTAAATATACTTTAAAACTAATCCAACAATGTTACACAGTAACATTTGATTTTAATTTTAAATATTAGTTAGAAAATATGGTAAAATTAATGTATAAATAGTACAAAAGTTAAATCATTGAAAGTATTCTATAACAAAAGAATTACTACGTACTATAGTTGTAATGCTTTGTCCATCTATTGAAGATGTAGATTTTTCTAGATGTAGCACACCAAAATTTTGTTCTATTTTGTTTTCAAGTTATGCATTACATGCATATAATAACATTGAGAAGGTTTTGTGTGAGTCCGGTTTATAATGCATACTCCCATCCCTTACCCAATGTCACTGCCCAGCCCCTGCCGGCAGCCGGCGACCTTCTCCCTCCCATTCCCCGGTGCCGGTGAACCTCCCTCACCCATACCCCGGCGCCGGCGACCCTGCCTCTGTTAAACCGGATTATACAGCAAACAAATTTCCTCACAGATTTACTTAAGTTCCAGTACTAGAACTGCAAAGCTTCAGTAACAATGCACGTTGGAGCTGCTTCAATCTTTTCCTCAATTATTATGGCTTTTTGAGATTTTTCGTTTTCTAGCCTCAAGCTGGTCAACCTTAGCCTTCTTTGGTTGCTCACTGATACGCATCGATTCATAAAGCCCTCTTTTACGGCGAGACATTGTTTAATATCTGATATATATAACTTAATATCTTATATATATAACCTATTTTCTGACAACTATAATATAATATCTGATATTTATAATCTAATATTGACCATTATAATCTAATTTCTAACAATTAAGACCTAATATCTGACAATTATAATCTAATACCTGATAAGTATAATCTAATATCTGACCATTATTATCTAATTTCCGACACTTATAATCTAATATCTTATATTTATAATCTAATATCTTACTATTATTATCTAATTTCTTACAATTAAGATTTTTTTTTCCTCAAAAAAAAAGAAAAATAAAAAAATTTACTTGTTCCTGTTTGTATGACCGGACTCACGTGAGTGCGTCCTACACAATACTTTACCAATAACGTTTGTGTGGATTGAGATACATTATTAAGCACATAATCTACTAACATATCAAGGGAATGTACAAAGATGATGTCCTTGTAAAGATTAAATTTTGTTGCCTCCTAGCTATAGGGATGCTTGAATTCGCATATTACTATATAATATAGTTTTAATTTTGGTGCGTTGATTATACTTTATCTGTCGTACATCAAAGCTAACTCTTTGCTTATTTGCTAATTTGTGGAAGCACTAAATGAGAGAAATTAAATCTTTTTTTGTATCTATAAAATACAACTGGTTGTAAGTTGAAAATATTCTACCAAACATCAAATACAAATATAGGTCGACTACGATAATGAAGAAGCACAATTTCTTTTAAATAAAGATACATTTATGTTTAAATCATTCTTTGAGCTTTGTAATCTTTGCCTTATTACTTAATCGTATTCTTTCTTATAAAGGACCTAGGGTGATTGGGGTTAGCAGGACCGTATGGATTTAGAGTGAGAATGAGATAAGATCAAACTGATATGAATTTGGAACTTGATTCACAATACATACCACGTGTTTTTTTTTTTTTTTGTAAATAATAAATCTGTTTTTTATTTAATATCTAGAAGTTCAGCATAATCAAGTAATCAACCAATCCTTTCTTCGGTTTTTAAACCTCATACCTTGAGGATTTAAGATATGATTTAAAATTTGCAATTTTAATAATTAGCACTATCATTTATTTTTATTTTTTATTTATTTATTTTTTTTTTTTTTTTTTGCAATTTTCTCCAATGATAATAAAGTAATATAAGTCCTAACTTATATCCGCATGTTGTGAACCAATTAAAGACCACACCTAAGTGATACACTTGTACATATATAAGTGGAACCAATTAAAGTATTTTCCAGAGTTTGTTTCTAGAAAGGGTTCAAACTATAATGCTATTATCACCCATTGAAACTTCTATATATGGAAAAGGAACACTTTGTAAATGGTTGGCCTTAGATGATCAAGATCATCTACTAAGCTTTGATATAAAATAATTGTAAGTTACATTAATGATGAGGCCTAAACTAATTTTGGCTTTGAAGGTTTTAATTTGATCGATTTGCTTCAAGTTTTATTCTTTCCACCTTTCAAATAATTTATTTGTGAAAAATTAGTTCAACTAAATTTTAATAGGTTCATATAACAACTATTCAAATTCAATCACCAAGTTAGTTATTGAAATAGAAAGGGTACAAAGAAGCTAACGAACGAAGGATTAACCTGTTTGCGAACTGGACAAGAAACTCCCATGGTGCAACGATAATAAGCTCGAGGGCAAGGGTTTCCTTTTGCCATTTTTTGACCATACTTTCTCCATTGGCATCCATCACTAATCTGCACATTCAATAATAAAAAATATTCCAATATAAAGAATGCTATTGATTAATATTTTATTTTATCTGAATTAATCCTAATAGCTGGAAGAAGAGAGATCTAAACATGTGAGTTATGGTACATAAACTCCTAGTTTTTGACAACATGCCAACATGTTATTGATTTGTAACAGTAATTCATTAAACTTAGGTATACTTAAGGAAAGAAAAAGAATATCAAAATTTTCATAGACAAAAAGAAACAATTTACAATGTAATTTGTATAGTTGTTTTATTTTCAAATAATTTGATATCATTATGATAACAATTATTACGAACAACTAGAATACCAAAACAAACTCATGCATTGTTTTTGGTATATAGCTTAGATTCTTGTCATTTGTGTGTATGTTTGTATTAACTAAATCCATTTTTTGAATACAAATAAGTATAATGAATCTCTATTGTATAATCCATGAGTTAAGCATGTCAAATATAAATATACTATATAACTAGAGGGTGACATTAAATTTAGATATTACATACCATATTTGCTTCTGATCGTGCCCGAACTGATACGCGAGCTCGTCTCATGGTTACTTCATGAGCCTCCTCAGTCTCTACGGTTGCAGTACCCCCAACTCTTTGCACATTACTTGTACTTTTATTTAATTGCTCGTAATCTCTATTGTTATCACTTGAATTTGAATTGGACCTTCTTTTATCACCTCCATCAGTGTTATTTTCTTGCTTTGGACCCAAGAATTGACCCATTTGTTGTTTCCTCTTTTCATTTATTACCCCGTCATCATTAATTAATGTCTAAAATCATATGCACGAATCCAAAAAAACATGTACATCAAAGAATGTTTTATACGAAAATTTCACCTATAATTTGACCCTGAAATTTAACTATATAATTCATTACATATCAATTTTTTTTTATAGGTAATTTTAAACAAAAATATGTAAATTAAAAAAAAAAAAAAAAAAAAAAAAAAAAAAAAAAAAAAAAAAAAGAGTACCTCTGTTGGGTGGACTTTAATGGATTTATTTTGATCAAGTTGGTGTTGTCTAATTGTCATGATTTGCATTTGTAGGGCTTGGTGACTGCTCGTAACTTGATCAAGTAATGTCTTCAATCTTTGATTTTCGACGCTCTTTCGTGCAATTTCCTCCCTTAGAATTATCATCTTCACTCACATATAATAAATTACTATAATAAATTAGATTTTCATGGTATGACAATAAAATAGGAACCAATTCTATCTAATTAAAAGTTAGAACAACATAAAAATATACGTACATACTTATCATAATCACATAAGATTTACGTATATACACGAGTTTACTAAGTGTTAATCACCTCATCCTTAGCATTTTGATTCTCATCATGAGATTCTAGCATTTCTACTTCATCTCCCACCGTAGTTTTCTCGACAAAATCGAAATTTCTAGCCACTTGAAGCTTTAACCCGGTCTATGATCACATAAAATGAGCGCGTCACAAAAAATAATGATTAATGACTTTAAACAACATAAACAAGCTAAGACAAAATTATAGTATAATTTTTAGTTGCATACATCAAGTTGTAGTTTAAGATCATCATCATCACCATAACCATCTCGGATGTCGCCGCCATTGTTGTCTGCCTTGTTAGTACCACCTTCTTTTAATATCCCTTGTGAAAAAAAAGTAGAGCCTTGAAAAAAGTCCATCTCCTTTAACCTATGCTTTTGAGGTTCATGATCATCTTCAATATTATTATCATCATCATCTCTTCTAATATAGCTACGATTCACATGATATTCCATATTTATTTTGATATATATTATGATCCTCTCAATTATTTGCTAGATCATAAAGATTTAGAGTGGAGTCAAAATTAAGAAGATTATAATTATGGAGAGTAATTAGTGTAAAATAGGAAGAAGAGGTGAAGAAAAAGGTGGAAATATAGAAAGAAAAGTCTAAAGAGTTGAGAAAGTGAATAATACAGAAATAATTTAACAGATTATAAGCAAAAATTAGGAGATGGACTCGGCATTAAAAGAGGTCAAAGCTAAAGACCAAAGAAGAGATGTAATGGGGGTGACTAAATTAATTAGTTAACTAATTAATTAATTAATCAACATATAATTTTATATAATAAGGTATATATATTATATATACCATAATATATATAATGTTTTATATTTTTATTATATAAATCTAGGTCATGAGGTAAGGGGTTGCGTCAAATGCATAGGTGTACACGTAATCTTATAGAGAGAGAGAAAGAGTCAAAATAATGGGGGGGGGGAAAATAAAATGAGATTAGATCTCCAAGAAGAATGTAAATCATGGAGACAAAAGCATGAATTTCGTTAAAAAGAAAACGGTTTAATTAGGGAGTGTAGAATGTTGAGAAAGTCAATGTGATTGACTGGTCTTCCTATAATTTGGATGTATTAATGGTAAGATTAGACTATAAAGTAAGAATCGTTTACCATGGTTGGTTGACACTTAATATCAGGTTACAACAATATTTCATGTCTTTATATTAATAAGGATATTGCTAACAAGCGTCAGATAACTAATTAATCTATATATTACTTAAAATATTATTAAGTTCAGAATGCATGATAAAATTACGCGCCAATCGGACGATCGGTTATTTTACTTTAAAATTCTCACATTTAGTTCTCTTATCTAACGCCCCTAGGGCACTCGTTAACTTTTGCCTATTAATAATCTTAAATAGTTCTCATTAATCGATTAAGAAAATTTATTTTGTTGTTTCACACTATGTCTTTATATTTGTCAAAAGTAATTACTTTTAAGATAACAAATCAAGTTAGCATTTTGTTTTTTTTTTGAAAGAAAAAAAACTTATTTTTGCTCAAATTGACTACAGAGGAAAAAACTTGCGTGGGCCTGGTCCACAATAATATTTTTGTGGCCCTGATATCTATACGCGCGCAACTAACTATATTTTGAACATAATGACCCTAATTTTAACATAGTAACCTTTATTAAAACTCGTGTGACCTTTAATATTTTTATGAATTTGACGTACGATGCTATTTTGAATATAGTGACCCTAATTTTAATATTGTGACCTTTATCATTCACATTGACCTATATATCAAAAATTTCAAAATTAACCTCTTATGACATTTATAATAACACAATGACTTTATTTTAACATAAAAGGAGTAACCTTTAATTTAACATAGAGACCTTTATTTTGTATTGACCGCATATAATAAACTAGCAAGATTTTAATTTAAAGTCAATTGGTGATAGATTGAGTGGCGGTATACCCTATCTATGTTAGTTATTTTCTCTCTAATCTTCGATGTGCAATGGGACAACTAGTCGCGAGTCTCGACTCACATAGTCACATGATTAATTTACTTGGTTCATGCTTCATAAATCATACTAGACTTTTTGACAATTCGTAAAAAATTTTTTTTGAGGAAACTCGTTAAATTGTAAGCCACCCGGCATGCGAAAATATACTATTCATCATATATCTATTTTAATTTGCTTGCATGCATGATGATGCATGTTAGACCAGCTAAATCTCTAAAAATTATATAGAGTTCGTTTGTCTTTTGGAGGATTTTTAATTTATTATTTATGTATTTTCAAGTTACAACTTTCTTCCAAAGTCTACACTCTATTCTCAAAGAAGATTGACTGGCTTACCTATAACTTTAAAACAAGATTAAGTGCAACAAAATTAGGCTTTTTGGTATTTTGTCAAGACTCGTGAGATTAAACTTGTGCACAATTCATTGACTTGGTAAAGTTAGCTTGATTTTTTTAGTTAGGTAAAAAACAAAAATTCATTATATTCTGTATGTTTGAAAAATATTCACGTATATAATTTGGAGGTTTTTTTTTTTTTTTTTTTCAAAAAAAAAAAGTCACGATTTTTTAGATAGGAATCGATTAGTACTATTATTTGTTCTCATTCAAGGAGAGCATAGAGGAATGAGGATGTATTGTACATAGTAGATGGTTGGGATCTCCTAAGCTAGTGTAGTTGAAGTCCAAGACTTACAGATGATTTTAATGTAATCTTATGACTTTTGACTACCATAATTTTTTTAAAATGGACGGCTGAGATTATTTATTTTTTGATTTATTTTTAATTAGTAATTTTAATTAAAAATAATATATTAAATATTTTAAATATATTTTTATCTTCTAGAAATTATTTTTTAATATTTTCGAAATTGTGGAAAAAATATATATATAAAATAATTAAAAAAAGATTTTTAATTAAAATTACTAATTAAAAAAAAAAAAAAATCTTAACCGTCTATTTTAAAAATTATGGTAGTCAAAAGTCATAAGACTGCATTAAAATTTTCACAAGACTTACAAGTCTCATTTAGTGAGAATCAAACTCGATATTACTACTATACATGGTACATCTATGTCACACTCTCTAGACCATTCTTTGGAAAAAAAAATAATCCATGTATGTGCTTTTATGATTGGATTTGTGTGTGTTAATTAAATAACAAAAAAAAAAAAAAAAAAAAAAAAAAAAAAAAAAAAAAATTGATTTCCTAATTCCTATTCAGTGTGATCTGACCTCATTTCTATCTATACTGCTCATTCTTCTTTAAATATATTTTTGTCTTATTAATTAATACTTTATGGCTACTAAAAGTAAATTCTAGATTTTTATTTTTTATTTTTTATTTTTTTTGTTTTTGAAAAACTATTCTAGAAAAGATTGACTTATTATCAAACAATCGTTGTTTATGACACAAGAACTATTATATATTGTCTAATATGCTAACCATTTAGCCGGAGTGTGTGCGTGCATGAATATGCTATCCATTTCATTATTAATGTGGACAAAGAAGCATGCATGCATGTATACAATTATACAAAGGGGAGTGGTACGCTAGATTGTAAAAGAAAATCCTTGAAAAAGTTGGCTAGCTCATGCCGCAATCAATGTGTATGGATGTTTTTTTCAAAGAGAAATCAAGGGATAACCCTTGAAACATGCATGCTCTATTTATTTCTAATTTGTCAAAAAGGGTTTGATTCTTCTACTTACTCCCATGTGCCTATCTTTCCTAATTTAAGGGGTTGTTTGGCAATCGGCGGTTGGCTGTTGGGTATTGGCTTGTTTGACTAGCTGGAAGTATTAGCTGTATGGATTGGCTTTTTAAGTTAGTTGTTTAAGCCAGCTATTTACAAAAGTGTTTGGTAAAATTATTTATGGTTGTTAGCTATTTATTAGTGATTAAGTGCGTCAACAAGCCAAAAGCCAATAGAAAAAGCTACTCCTATTAGCTTTTGATTTTTAGCGGAAAAGTCAGCTTAAAAGCCAACTACCAAACATTTTTTTGGGTTGTTTGACCAAACTAAAAAGCCAAAAGCCAAAAGTTAAGCAAAAAGCCAATTGCCAAACATCCTCTAAATCATCCACTTAAAATGGTAATTTATTTTCTTCTACTGGTATTATATATTAAATGGCACACTTTTATAGGTTTTTTTGGTCACGAAAGGTATGCACATTATAAGGAGAACCTTCTTCATTTCATTGCAGTCAAAGGATGAGTTCTCATGCTTATATCGTGATATATCATCACTCAATTAACAGATTTCGGATCATTTAATTTCAACAAACTTCATCTTATCTCTAGTCTGTGGTGATGATTTCAATAAAAAAAATTTGTTAAGAAAAACATAGATATGTTGGTTTATCCTGAATTCAATTTTCAAGTGACTAGCGGTGGCTAATAGTATATAGATATCAACAATCACATTATGATTTATTTTAGGTACATATCTGTGACCTAGTCACTCAGTATAAGTATTATGACCGTAGGTGTATAGTATATGAACTCCGTAAAACTAGCCACGTTGTGACAACTCCTCGAGATCTAATATCATATTCTTTTAACACAACTTTTACACCGTACTGCCAATCTTGCTCATGAATTTTGCAGTATAATCAACAGAAAGAGTAATCTATTGATAAAAGGACAAAAAAATGGTACAGAAACAAGTTGAGAAAGAACAATCTTTCATTGTGCAATGGTAACCAGAAATGTCAGAAAAATAGTTACATGGTACAGAAATCGAATACAAAAAGAAGTTACATTGTGGCTAGCAACATTGCCCGAATTTTGGCTCTTAGCTCATCAGGAACTTCTGTTGTTTCAGGAGGGGGTAAAGATGGAGCCTTATCTTGGTAAGATATCTTTGAAACATCAACAGAGGCTTCTGTACTAGCATCATCACCTATGGCTGACGAAGACTGATCTGAAGATTTGGTTCTTATCTCACCTTCTTCCAATTCAATTTCCTCCCTTACAGATTTTCTCTCACCCTTCCTAGATTTCCTTTTATGTGTGTCTTCTTCTTTTCTGTAGTGTTTTTGCTTACGTTTACGGTGTCTGTGCTCGTCTTCATCAGAAGAGTTATCATGCTTGTGCTTCCGGTGTCTGTGCTCATCTTCATCAGAAGAGCTATCATGTTTGTGCTTCCGCTTACGGCGCTTGTGTTCATCATCAGAAGAGCTATCATGCTTGTGCTTGCGCTTATGGCCCTTGTGTTCATCATCAGAAGAGCTATCATACTTATATCTGTTATGTCTGTCATCTTCATAGGGAGAAGAAGTGCTATCATGGTTGTGTCTATGTTGAGATTCTCTGTTTCTTGACAATGAATGCTTTTTACGATGTTTGTGAGTATCCTTGCTTCTATCTCTATGATGCCTCGAGGAATTACGTGACCTATGCTTCTTCCTAGAATGCCTTGGATCATCATATTCTTCATCATTCCCACTCTTCCCCAAGTACTCATCTTCTTCTCCTTCACTGTCATCATGTATTCGAGACCTATAATGGCGGCTTTTTCTTGCTTTCCTTTCAATTTCATCGTCAGAACAATTCCTTACTGGCATCTCAATCCTTTTTGAAGTCTCAGCCTCTTCTAGAACACAGCTTCCTTCTCTATCTTTGACTTCTCCATTGGTTACCTCAGTGGCAGAGCCAGGGAAATCGGAGCTGGATGGTTTTACAGATGAAGCTTCCTGGGGCTCTGTACCCAATGGTGCAACACCACTCTTTATCATTGCTGCAAACATCTTTGCTCGTCTCAATCTTTCAGCCTTTAACTTCTGCTCCTTGGTCATCCCAGCTTCAGATGAGTCCGCCTCACCAGCTGCTGCACGAGCAGCAGTATTGGCAATTTCTTTAGCAACAGGAATTGTAACATTGGACTTCTGATTTTCTATTAACTTTTGGCCTGAAGTTTGATTTTGTGAAGACTGAAGGCTTCCAAAACTTGATGCCTGCCCACCTTCATTGCTGGAACCACGACTTACACCACTCAAAGATGTTTTGGAGAATATATCCAAATTAGGTTTCTTAATGCCTCTAGTGGCAGCCTGAAGTATAGCTGCTGCTGCTGCTGCATCCACAGTTATTCCTGAGTGCTGCTGAGTCTCTTTGGATGGATGATCATGTGCATCTTTTTTTGATTTGCTAATTACCATTTTGAACTTCTCTTTTTTGTCACAGTCAAGCGCTGAATCATCAGCTCCACATCCCATGGATGATGAGATACGACTGTCCTTCCTGGAAGCAGTGTTCTTTTCTGTCTCAGTGTTAAAACTCTTACCACTTAATCTGGACTGTAAGAAATGATGAAGGAAAGAGAAATCAGGATTCCAAATAAAAAAGAGAAAAATGGAACCAAATATAGCAGGTTATTTCCTGTCCAAATACAATGAAGCGTGAATAATAGGCTGTATCATGATGCAACAGTGAAACTGAAGGGCTTTGTCTCACACCAATATGCTTTATAAAGCTACATTCTAACAAGTTGAATCTTGAATGCAAAGCAGAAGGAATGTGTTAAATTGACTCAGAAGCTGAGGCTTAACTGATAAGGAAAGCTGGAATGATAAATAGACATAGCTCAGAGTACTTAACAATTGAGCACTAAACATTCTTCTTTATAAGAAACAAAGTTTTCATTGAGTAACGTGTGACAATTTTTGAATCAGCTTGCTTTTTAAATAGGTATCCTAAAGTTGAATAACCAAAGAAACAGAGATCTACATATGACTTAAGTATCAGACTGACTTCGCATTAAAAAAAAAAAGGAAAGAAGTAAAAGATACTAATATCCCATTTCACATGAACAGGCCTCAACATCTAAGCAAATTCAACATAATCCACCGCTATCAAAACATACCTTTCAATAATCTACTGGTTTGAAACATGTAGTTACCTATAAATCTCCCAATGCCCATTGTCCCAACAGGCTCATCCAAAGTAAACTGGCCATGACTTATATATATGCATGACCATTACATGACTAAGAAAATAACAGCATATACTATTAAGAGACAAACCTCTTGAGCTTTCTTCAGAACCTTTAGATAATACGGGTGATACTGGTTGGATGGCACCAAGAATGGAAACCTGCCATGCTTTTTGTCCTGCTCTATAAGCACTGCCTCAAAGTCCCTACCATTCTTCAAGATGATCTCAACTATTCGATCAACCAACCTTTTAACTTCTGCTGGAGGGTCTACAAGCAGCGTTTCAACTTCAGAAACTGGAAACAAACTTGAAGTTTTTGACTTGTCCATGATAGAAACAGTAGAAGCTAAAGTGCCAGCCTCTCTATTTACGGCATTCGCTTTTACAGACTTAATGCTACTACTACGATTTTTACTCGATGAAGGCACTTTCACTTTAGAAGGATGTGCAACTTTAGAAACAATCTCGTCCTTTCCAGACTCGCTTTCAGGACCGGTAATTTTTTCTACTGCATGAGACTTGGACATCACAGCTACTGCTGTAGTCTCATCAGAGTCAACCTGATTAGATTCTTGGTTAGGCACAGCTGCAACATCCTCATCTTCTCCTGTACCATAGAATGAACCCAGGAGAGAAAGCGCTCCACTAGTTCGATCCTCATTTGTGTTCTCCTTCTGTGACTTGCCATCATGGTCAGCTTTCAGAAGCTCTGGGTGATCAACGAGATATCTGAAGTATGGGTGTAGATGATGGTGAGGCATCAAAAATCCAAATGTTGGGTTATCTCCCTGTTTTACTCTTAAAACAATTTCAGACTGGCCACCATTTTCTCCAACAAACAAAGCAGTCCTTGCAATAATCTGATGCACTTTATCCGTAGGAGGCTGAAAAGAATTAGAGGAAAACAAAAATATCATTAATAAAGAGAAGAAATTCTCACATGTTAAATTTATCTAAAATCTTGTGGAGAACCAAGAATATTAAAAGCCAAGGAAACTTGATAAGTAGCATCTCACGTAGAGCTTGATAATCTTAAACGATAAAATATCAAAATTCTATGAGGAAACATTTCATTCCATATGCTCCACACGACTATGATGATGTGAATTTCCAGGTAAAGTAATTAACTCTATCATCCTAATCCCACCTGCATGGCCCATCTGTCATCACATCAAAAGGGAACAATGTGCCCCTGAATAGCAACTTTAGGTCAGAAGAAGTCCACCTGCTCCAAGCATCTGAAAACTTAGACATAGTAAGCCTCAGAATAACATATGCACATCAGACAAATACCATTTGTTTACATCAGCTATTTATCCAAAGAGGAAAAAAAATCATCAACTTCTTAAAACACTTATAGAAGCCATGTGTAAGATGTATAACTGAAAAGGGATCAGCTTACCAGATTTTGTAGTAAACTTTCAGGCACTGTAAATGGAGGATGAAACGCAGATGTGTCCGGAGCCACATTAAGATATTTCTGGTCACTGGAATCAGTAGAGTTTCCATAGGAGAAGGGCACAAAATGATATCCAGAAGCATCTGTCTTCGCCGCTTCATTTTCTATTTCTAACAGACAAAACAAATCCAAAATACAGTTATCACCATTGTCTTTTGTACGAATTAGTTATATGATCTAGATTAATTGCAAAAGAAGCTGAGCATTGAAAGAACCCAAGAAAATTAGACATACGATGTTACTAGCAGAGTGAGGACGGAGGACATTCTTACTTGTCATTTCAAGAGATCAACCAGTTGCAGATAAGATATCTTTCCTGCAAATGTGGAAATATGTAGCAAAGCAACATAGCATGCACCTGTAACTAACACTTGTTACATTACAAATTGATTTCCATAACTTTCTCATCTTTAAGTTAACCTATAAATGCAAAGACAGACCTCATTAACTAAGTATCAAAATCCAGTGCCCCATGCCCATAGAAGTATTTTCTTAGCACACTCCCTAATTTTTATGCCAAACAACTCAATTCCCTACATATACACTGCCCTCTCCAAAGATTCCAAAAACTCATTTATGTGATCGCTCTTAGTAGCTGGGAGCTCACAAGATAAGTGCTCCACAAAGCTAGTTACATCATCTTGATTTCCAAAAAAGCCCTCCCAAACTCACCCTTATTGTTACTCCATAGATACAATACCCTTTCAATTGCCCTTTTTTTTCTTGCAATTGTACATCACGCGCATAATATTGGCGAGGAAACGGAAGTCAATAGCCGGAAACTTGACTTTTTGGCCATAAAGTGGCATTAAGATAATGTTTTTAATATAAAAAAATTTAATTCAAGGTACTGATTTTTAATATAAAAATATATTCAAGTTACTATTTTACAAAAGAAAAATCTATCTGGTACTAGCTCACAAATTGGAGCAAAAACAAGCTATTTAATTTTTGACAATTTTGCCATTTGTTGAGAAGAAATCCTTTGTATATTGTGCAAGCATTCCGTGCACTTATACAACAAATTGAGCAACATAACCATGATTTGGCCTGCAATGAGTGCTTCCTCAAGAGAGCAACATTATTTTAATTTCTATAACCCATCCTCATCTGAATCATACTTATATACAACAAATCAAGCAACACTTTCGTAATCTAATCTTCTCCACAGTGAGTGCTCTCTCAAGCGAAGATTATCTTAATTTCAAATACCACTCTCTCATCTGAAAAATATACTTAAAAGACACAAACAAAAACAACTTTTTCATGATCTTATCCACAATGAGTTCTCTCTCGAGTTAGTAATATTATCATGATTTCAAAAACTACACCCTTGTCTAAATAATAGACTTACACAGCCAAATCTGTGATCTTGCTACACTCCAATCACTAATTTGATCAACATAAACACTCTGAATGAAGCTGATATATAGTTTACCAAATTCAATTTTCCAAATATGACCTAGTTAACAAGCTTTATCTTAGATAAACAATTGATAATTCTGATTCCATATAGTTGCATCATTTTACGCCCTACCAAACTAAATTCACTGGAATAAACTATAGTATCAACAACATAACACAAAATTCAATTTTAATCAATTCAAAGCACAAATCAGTTCAATACATTGCTTACTCATTGATAAACCACAAATACAAAATAAATTCAAAATAAAAAATTTCAGCTGACAAGAGAGCAAGAGAGAAAAAGAACAAACCTAATTCATCAGAAGAAGATGGAAGATCAGCGTATCGTTCGAGATCGAGCTCAGCTTCGAGATGAGAATCGGGAGACACTCCTCCGCCGCCGCCATGAACGGTGAGCTTGCGGAAAGAAGAGGGAGGATTTGTGAGAAGATTGCGAACATCAAAACGATCGATTGAAAGAGAATTCCAGTCAATTAGGGCATCTTTGGAGTTGACAAAGGCGGCAGTGGCGTCGTCGTCGAAGAGCATCGCATGGCGGCCGACTACCTCGAGTTCGACCTCCATTGTTGAAGAGGAGAGAGAAAGTTAGGCTAAGAGTGAATTTGATAAAAGGGGGCGAAAGGAGAGGAGGGAGGAAGAGGAGAGAGAAACCCTTAATTGGTGAGAATTGGGGATTCTGCCGACTATGGGTGTTAACGAGCCGAGCCGAGTCGAGACCGAGCTTGGGTAGCTCAGACTTGGCACAATATACTATTGTTCGAGTTCGAGCCGAACTTTTTCAAGCTTAAATTATCAAGTTTAAGTTACAGTAAAACTCGACTTAGATTCGAAAATTATAACAATATAATGTCTATTTTTAAGATATAATATACTATAACTAAGTTTATTTATTTTTCTTAGAATTTATTAAAAATATTCTACCAATATTTAAGGTTACGATGTTAAAAAAAATTAAAACAAAAAATATTTCGAGCTTGTTCATTAGCTTTCGAGCCGAACATGGTTGTGTCTCGGCTTGTAAAATTTCCGAGCCGACCTCGAGTAGTTCGCGAGCCGGCTAAGCTCATTAACTCCCCTACTACCAACCAAGGTGATTGGAAACCTCCCAACCCAAAGCCTTTTCCCTTCCGAAGAGGTTTTATACTTGCCCCTCTTTATTGTTTTCTGTATTAATGTATGGGATATACGTAATATGTAAAACATAACGAGTACAACACTAGCAAATTTTTTTGTTAAGCATAGTAGAAAAATTAGAAATAGAGTAGCTCACGAATTAACACTTTTCAATCTTTGGTCAAATATATTCCAAATCATAGTTTAGACGTTGTTTTGAACGATATAACAATTTAATTCTCTCTTTTATGGGTTATAAAACACGTTTTTATATTAGAAATTAACAACCTAACACATTAGGAAAAAAATTATACAAAGTATGAATTATAGTTCTACATAATTAAAAGACCTAACAATCATAATCCTTTATCTTAGAATATTAATGTAATTATAATTATTATCTTTTTTTAAAGACATTTGATTGCTTATAATATTTGGGTGATCCATGAAAGCTGTTCTTCTATCTTCTGTTTATTCCATGATTTTCAATGAGAAGGTTACACCCATTATTCATCTTCTATCATTTCCTCTTATTTTTTTAGGACATAAATTTCTGTGACTCTAGTAACCAACCTGAGAACTCCTATGTTACAAAACAATGCATCAACTGAACAAATTGGTGATTCAATAATACACCCTAGATGGGTCGAATTATCATTTTCAAGTTGTTCCAAATTTCGAAACATACCAATTCAAATTTCATTGTTTTGATGATTCGTTCCTATTTAAGCGTTGAAACCCCTTTCAATTTCAACAACACCAAGGTGTGAAGTTCAAAGTACTTCGCTTTCAAGAGATAAATTGCAAATTGCAAATTACAGTTGAGGCATGCTATGAAGTAATAAGACAAGTTATGATAAATTTTATAAAATTTTTGAAGTTCACAAAGCTTGAGTTACTACGCAATTGTCTCAAAGAATACAAGCTGTAGTAACTAGTAAGATCAATGCATCTAGAACAATTACTCTATATTTTAAGTAATTAGTAATATGTATACATCACATCTAAGATCTAAGTCATCTAACCATCTTGCCTTGATAAATAATTACACCAAAAACAATGATTACATAATTACATGATATATATACCATCAGCTATTGGATATTGTCACACTACGCATTTGATTGGCAACAAAGAAGTTGGATGTTGACAATAAGTATTTGTGATTCGTGCTCAAACAAGATCGGGCAATCTCCACCAATTCATTGCAGATACTTGATACGTTTTCGTCTATCTGCATAAATTGAATTGCATATAAAAATAATAAACAATAAAATTGAAGACATGCGTTACAAGTATCAACATATTCATCCTTGATTCAATTCATTTTAAGTTTTTGTCAATAGAGGTATAGTATCATGTCTATCTATCTTTGCACCATGTTCTCTTAAGTGAGCTTAGTAGCTAGTGCGCTTGCTTATTCCTAATCTACCGCCTTCCCATCATGTTAACATTTCCAAGTTTAATTTTAGTCAAATTTTGTAACCATTGATAATACTATAGAGATGCAAGTTTTGATTTTTGAACCCATGACCTTTTTATATACATACATGACATTGAATGAAGATCAAACATGTCTGGTATCTAAAAAATCTTAGCTAGGCTAAGTTATCATTGAGAAATGCTTTGCGAGTAAAAGACTAGTAGAACAAACAGAAGAGAATTTTAAAGGTTGTATAAATGAGCCCCTAAACCTATCAATGCTTGGCACATGCTCACTATAATATGTTTATCAGAATATTATGGCCTGGGAAAATAAACTCCTTGATTGGGCAACATACATACATATGCATCACTATATCCACACATCCATTTCCTTTTAAAAGGATTTTAGGCTGCAAAATCATTTCCGCATTGGTTTTTCTCAATTTTTCTCAAGCACCTAAGTTATTACTCTTAAGGGGCAGCGTACACTTCTATATTAGTACAAGTGAGACATGCACACCCTGCTACATAAAACTGTGCCACAAAAAAAAGAGTATTTGATGTACAAACAGTGATTGCATTTCAAATGCACACTTTCTTTTCAAGTTCAGTTCAAGATTCCAAAATGATCTCATCAGAAAAGTTACCTTTCTTATATTCCCACTTGACCACAGTCAACAGAAAAAATTATGCGTAGTACCACATTGCATAAAAGGCTTGAATCATCAAAAAGCTTTCAGTTCTATGTTACCCTCAGCCCTCCCCCAAGAAATAATTTTTACTATCATTCCCTTCCTAACATCTTTAATCTCAACTCTTCTCTAATGCTTTCACATTCCATGCAACATTTCGTTTTAAGCAATTCATTACAAGCAAAATGTTTTCACTTAGTTTTAATTAATCCCTACTAGTAAGTCAATACCCTAAATGCTAGTCCTTACTCATAGCAGGCAGGCAGAGGGAAGAAGGTAAGGTGGTAAGACTTATACAGCAATGGCAGGACACCAAAGCAGTATCCTAATTGACATCTATCATATATATTGGAAGCTGGAGATGCTAGGGTGAAAAATAACAAATACTTCCTCTCTCTTTTTTTTTTCTTTTTTTTTTTTTTTTGTACACACTTATGGGATTAAGGCTTTGTTTGATTGTTTGATTGATTTAATTTACACACTTCTCTTTTCACGGAAACCAAGAATTCTATTTAATTTTAGGAGAGAGAAAGTAAAGTGTGAAAGTGACATATAAAAATATTAGTTGTGAGAGTAAAAGTGGTGGGTCCCATTTCTAAAAATAGTGCAAGTAAATTAAAAAAAGGAAAGTAAGCATATTAAAAGAAAACAGAGGGAGTAAATCATAAGAGGCATCACTGGTGAAACTAATCAGGACCAAACCTGGAGGGCTGATACAATGCAGTTGCAAGCTTCGAGCGCAAGGCTTCCCCGAGCAATCTAGATAGTGACATTCTATTATTAACATAACAAACCAATAATGAAAACTCAGCTATAAAGGCAACAATGCATAGACAGATAAACATACCGGGGAAGCTTCTTCCTTAACTGCATGAACAAAATCCGGAAGAATGTGACCACAAATTGATGCAAGTTCCTCATGATAGTACAGATCATCAAAATGCAGGAGATCATTACCAGGAACCTGCATGACATACTCTATACCATAAGAAGCAAGAGAGAAACATATAGCTATTTCAAATGAATAACATCTTAATTGAGTAACTTATAAAGCCTTTAATTGAGTAATGACAAGTTCAGCTTCCAAATTTATAAAAGAAGGGAAGTGGAATACTTTTAGGGAAAAATGCAATTAAGGTTCATGTCCATCAAACCTGATGACAAGATGAGAACATTAAAATGATAAGTTTTATACACATACGGACAATCCATTCAAAATAGACTACATCATTCTCACTTATTTCACAAGGCAAAATTAACCATCTCAAACATGGTAATTATTAAAATAAACAGCTAAATAGAAAATCCTCATGTGGGACTCAAGAGAAGTCCTTCAGGCCATCAGCATTAAGAGAAGCCCATTAGAATATGGCGCTAAATAATCAACTACTCATACACATGCAGCCAGCCAGAAAATGAAACTCAAGAAGCTCCTATTAGCCTACTTGGGGAGTTGGGGTACAACACTAAGTTCTCAGGAATATTTAAATTAAATACTACTTCGTATATCAAATATATAAATGACACCCCAAATCTATTCTCTTATTATTTATGAACTGCAAGTTGGATAATACTACACCCTATCGAAGGCAGTATATACAACCACCAAGAAGTGAGGTGCCTATACAGAGTCTCAAGGGGATAAAAATTATGTGGTCTTAGTAACGAAAACAAGCACAAATAAAATTTAATTTATTAACTAGCAATACAGTCATATATTCTCTTTATAACAAAAGTTAAGCTTCCTAAGAGTGACATGAGAAATTTCATTGTCGACATGAACAAAAGATGTTTCCTAAATACCTCTTTCGTGCCACAAGGACTGTATGGGAGTTTATGCTGTGATAATGCTGCCAGCATAATAATATTTGCGCACAATATTCTGACTCTCAATCTTGCAGTTTTTTGCCTGAGAATGAATTGCATAAATAAGGGGTGGAAAACAAAGAATCGGAAGTATGATTCTGTTTGGTATCAATAAAACTTACAATGAGTGAGAATTAACCAGTGACAGTAAGCTCTTTGGGATAAAGGTGACTCCACGCATAGGGTTACCTTGAAGTGATGCAATATATTCAGTATTCTGGCAGGAAAACTTTGAAGCATAGATAGATTATTGGTCATTGGAAGATGTGAGGAAAAAAAATTAACTTCAGAATGTTCAGATTTAT